GAAAGAAAGAAAGAAAGAAAGAAAGAAAGAAAGAAAGAAAGAAAGAAAGAAAGAAAGACAGACAAAAGAAAGACAAAAGAAAGAAAGAAAGAAAGAAAGAAAGAAAGAAAGAAAGAAAGAAAGAAAGAAAGAAAGAAAGAAAGAAAGAAAGAAAGAAAAACAAACAGATGAAGATCAAAAAGAAGAAGAAACAAGAGCCAGATTCCTTCACCTCAAGTCCTAGGCTCTGTCATCTTCTGCAAGCTGGAGGTGGGGGCAAGAGGAAGGCAGGCTGTACTCGGAGTGCTCCCAGGCTGCACTGAGAGTGCTCCTGAGTCCCTGTCTCATTGCAGAATATTTTTCTCAGTTTCAGAGTTTTCATCAATTTTTTTTTGGTGTGGTATCTACTTTGAAACTAAATACAAAAATAAATACACTGTCTCCAAATATTAACATAATAGGCAAGTCTTTCAGCTTAGAGACTTTAAACCCAAGGGATTCTAACTTTGGATTGTGGTTTAGTGACCAAAGCTGAAATTTGTCTTTATGATCATTGCACCCTCAACCTGATGAATTTTAGTAAGCACTGGATAGCAGCAAGCTGAGGAACACACTGTGATTCCATACTGGGTCATTATATAGTATAATACATCATAGAGCATTGTTTTTCTCCATAGCTCAATGAAGTTAAGAGCTGTGACCTTTTACATGATGTGGAGGGTAATTTTTCTCTCTAATGGGATTCCTTCACTAAAGAAGAAGCCCTAAATGCCAGACGCCCGTGGTCTTAAAATAGCACATTGTGAGTGGGACTGGGCCAGTAGGTGGCTAAGGAGGATGGGTTTGTGGAAACACTGACGAATGATAATTAAATGTCTTTATCCTCTGGGAAGAAGGAAAAGATACATTACAATAAATATCAGGTGGACATATTTGAAAACGCTTAAATAAAATGTCAGGTAAATTAACAAACTAATTAGTGCACAACGATACTTCCTAATAGAGAGGGGGGAAACCCACCCCATGCCCTCAGTTTTATGTCTTTTTAACATTTACCTTTAATTAAAATCAATTTTTTTGTTTATATTCACACAGATGGCCAATGTCACCTCCACAATTTATTCCCGAGTAAACTCACCACACAAAAAGTAACAGTCATTTTTCAAAGTACACAAATACCAGTCACCATGGAAACCAGTTGGTGTCTTGCCACTCCTGATTCTGTTTTCAGTGCAAAATGTTAACCACAGGACATTCCAGTTGTGACTCATAGCCACAACCAGAAAACTCGCTGGTTTGGACCTGGTAAAACTATGATTCCTTCTGCTTTTAGCGAGCCCGAGATCTACGCCACAGAACCACCAAGATGTTCTAAGTGAGCTCATTTAAAAGAAACTAAAAGCTACGGAGGAGATTTTTCTCACCTTGACTATGAGTCCTAGTTTGTGTGCCTGACAGCCTTTGAATACTTGAAATGATTCTCACTTTGTCACCTTGGCCATCAGACACTTCTCAAATGTGAGATTGTGTATCAAACTTCTGTGTTCAATCTTGTGAATTTTTCTCTTAGAACACAATCCATGTATAATGTTTGTGGTTCAAGTCTCCCTCACCTCCACTCCAACACAAAAATCTTAGCCCTTCTTGGGACACACAGAGAAGAGGGAATCCCTTGGCCAGGCCACACTTCTCAGCATGCTGGGCTACGGGGTTACTTTTACCCTGTGTGGCTGAAAATCTGTGCAAACATGGAGAGGATTAGTGCATTCAGACTCCAGCTACAATATGAAAAGATCCATGGGCCCCTCTCGATATTAAGGGCCACAAAAGCCAACGATATAGAATTGAAGACATACAGAGCATGTCAACATCTGAGGGAGATAGTCCAATTATTGTGATGTTAAGGCTTTATTTATTTATTTATTTATTTATTTATTTATTTATTTATTTATTTATGATTAGTGTCTGTGTGTGTGTGTGTGTGTGTGTGTGTGTGTGTGTGTGTGTGTGTGTGTGTATGATATATGTGCATGAGGGCAGACATACAAGTGGAACATCATGCATGTGGAGGTTAGAGAAAACTTTCAGAAACCCGTTTTCTCTTCCCATCATGTGGTTCCCGGGAATTGAACCCAGCTCATCAGGTAGTCACAGCTCTTGATTTTTACCTGCTGAGCCATCCCACTGGCCTACTAAGATAGTTTGTTGTTTTTCAATTTGTATTATTGTTTGTGTATACGTGTGAATGGTGTTTGTATGGGGTCCTGTGTGTGGTGAGGAATTAATCCTCCCCTTCCACCATGGTATCTAGGGATCAAATTCAAGTTGCCACCCTTGTAGAGGCAAGTAACTTCACTTTCGGAACCATCTCACTGGCCCTGAAGATTAAAGAACCTTGCCTTTCAGACATGGTGGCACGTGACTTTAATCCCAGCACTTGGAAGGCAGAGGTGGGTGGATCTCTATGAGTTTGAGGCCAGCTTTGTCTACATAGTGAGTTCTAGGACAGCAAGGGTTATGTAAAGAGATCCTGTCTTAAAAGAAACCAGCCAACCAACAAACAAAAAAGTCCCTTGGCTTTGTGGACACTTTCGGAATGACTGGAAATCAGGTTCTAAGTGAGCAGAGCCTCGTGCAACATGCTCTGACCACAGCAGGCCCTCTCTTCACTACCTCCAAGAACTTTCAAGAACATGTTCTTCAAGACACTTGGTTTTCCAGGGTCTCATCTCTGAGTTGCTTTATGAGGCTGTTTTTTGACTTTGGGAATTTGTAACTATAATGGATGAAAGTGGTAATTGAATGTCTGCCACACAGAGTAGATGACTAGATTGACATTTTCCTAAATCTTTTAGAATGAGAATGTGACAACCAAGGCAGTCCTTTCTACTTCAGGTCAACACAGAATTTATTCTCTAGATTCTTTTTTCTTTCCTTTTTACTTTTTCTTTCCTGGTCCTGAAGCTCAAACCCGGCATCTTGCCAATGAGAGGCACACGCTGTACCACCAAGCCACAACCACAATCAAAAGTATTATTTTCTTGAAGTGTGTCTAGAAGTAAACCTCATTTTTCTCTATTGCAGAAGATTCATTTTAAGACAGAGAAAGTAAATTAAGCCTTTTTTCGTATGATACCATTAAAATTGGCATAAACTTGGGGAAATTTATTTTATTCTATTATATATAAATAATATTATATATAATCTTATTATATATAATCTATCCTATTATATATAATCCTATTATATATAAATCTTGTAACTTCTAAGGAAAATTGCTTCAGATCTGAACACGTAACTGAAATAATTTATATGCTGAGAAAAAGAAATTTCAGATGCAGCAGATTCCCCTTTCTTTATATAAAGGGAGACTCTAGCCAGTGCCAGCAAATTCAACTCCTGAGAAGGAGTTCTTAGATGGGCTTTTGAAGTGATGTGTAATTGATGGAAGCAGTCAAATCTTTTCCTTGTCCGGACATCCACAGTCAACATGGTCAGAGTCAGGCATAGTCTCGCTATAGGAACTTTGCTTAGCACATAGTCGTGAGGAAATTGCTTAACTTCTTGAATCTAAACTTCCTTTATGAATGTATACGCTTGGTATCATATGGTTCCTACAGCTTTGTGACAAATGAGAAAACTACATGACAACAAGGTCTGACATGTAGCGTATGCTCGAAATGTCCTTCACCTTTTGGTCAGACATAAAGGGAACAAAATTAGTTGTTTCTTTTTTTTTCAAAAGAAATCACCCAAAAGTAGCTTTGTGAAATGAAATATGAGTCTAGACAGCTGAGGCTGACTCATGGTTAGCCCTTAGAATCATCACTGGCTGAGACGACAGGGAAGAAATGAATCAAGCCGGAAATGGACAGCCCTTTCTTGCATCGTGTTACTATGGCAACCTCGGGTGGTGTGGCCACTGCAGCCATCCCTGCCCTTCTGGGTGTAGAGCCAGCTGCAGATCACCCTGTGTGTGGTCAAGGAGGTGAAGGGTGTGTGCAGGGGTGGAAGAAGTGTGGTCCATCATAGCAGGGGATGGCCCAACAAGAAAGAGGACAGCAGAAGCTGCTGAGGCTAGCATGATGAGGTGAGAAGGGGCTGGGCATGCTGAAGCGGAAAAATGCTTTTCCTTCTTTTAGTGTCCTTTCTCCTATCTACCTGCAGTTCCTGCTGGCCCGGGAACACAAGAGGGCCAGAGCTGCTGAGTTCTTGAAACACTTATTCACCCTCTTCCAACCCCCTCAACCCCCACCCCCCCAAAAAAAAAACCCTATAGAATGCTTGTGGCATTGACTCATTATTTTTCCAATGCTGACGATGAACCCAGGGTGTTGTGCTGGTTGGGAAAGTACTCCCCTCTGAGCTACATCCCATATCCAAAGCACAAGAGTAATCCTTATGGATGTTGTTAACTTTTGCAAACATTATCTTAGTAAACATGGGACCTTTGTAGGTTGTCTTAAACCTACAGGATTTTGGTATGTTTCTGTACTTTTGCCAAAGGAAAACTACAGAGTGGGATACAAAGTTGTCATTATGAATAGAAAAAACCCAGAGTGGGTGGGGGATATATCACTGAACTGCAGAAGGTAAATTAGGCAAATGTTGAAGAAGGCTGATAGTGTAGGATACACTCAAGGCTGCTCCACCGTGGCTCTTTGGAGGCCCAGTGCCTCTCCTCAGTAAACATGCAGCTACTCACTCACAGTGCACTGGCATCTGAGGCTCACACACATCTCCTCACTGCAGGAAAAGCCATGCTGCCATGTGCTGTCAGGGTGGGGCAGGAAATGTGAACTACCCATCTAAAGTCAATGATTACTCATAATGCCAGGCTTTGCATGCGAGCTAGAGACCAGCAGAATACCACATTCTGAGTTATTTTGTATCACTTTGAATTAGAGGTTTATCTGAAATCCAGATGGCTTAGTGGCTGGTCTGTGGGCTGGCTGGTCTCCACCTACTCTTACTGCATTTATAGTTTCAAGTCTTGCTTTCTACGGATCACCTACATCAAAAGCCACAAAGGTTGATTTCAGTTCTTTTGTTGTGTTTTTTGTTTGCTTTGTTTTATTTACTTTTTTAATCAGTGTATAACCATGGATGCAGGCTAATGTTTAACTACAAAGATGTACATCTCACAATTGTTTAGAAAAGTGAAAATTTGAAGGACAAACGTCTCACAGCAGGCTTCACTGTGGTAATGGAATGAGCACACAAAGGAAAATGTCATAATAAGGTATAATGCATGAGATAATCTATGAATATTGAAATAAAATAAACATAAAAAGAGAACAGGAAATAAATACCACTAAATATTATTAGTAGTGGTGCAATTTGATTTTTTGTTTCTTCTAGACTTTTCTATGTTTTCTCAGTCTCCTGCAATGACTGTGTATTCTTTTTTGATTAGATAAATCTATTTTTAATGCATTATTTTGGGGAACTATTGACATCATGATAGAAGTATGTCTTGGTAACGTTTTCCCTATGCTATAATTCCACACTCCTCTAGGTTGTCAGACACCCATCTGGCCCACTAAAAATGTTCTGCTATTTCCATATCTCTTTTCTGCACTCAGGATCAAACCTCAACATTGCTGTCCTAAAATGTTGTTACGGAAAGCAATCTGTTCTAGCATTATCTTCAAATCATTTTTGTCCTGAGTATTTCCTTTTTCATGGTAACTAAATTTTATTATTAATTATTGTAATTCTTCCTTACAAATTAGTAGTCCAGGGGCTAAAGATCTTCTATAAATACTGGTTTTTATAGCAACTGATGGAGCAGCGAGTGCCTAGTTCCCTCCCCAGGGGGAAGGGAGAGGCTTTGAAAGTCAATAATACTCTCCTGTGAATATATAAATGGCTAATTCCATAAGCTGCAGCCATCCTTCTGCCAATTGTCTTGCCATGGTGAAACACTAAACGTTCTAAAAATATATTAATGTGTCTTCCAAAAGTCTCTGCATCTGTTGCAAATGGACTCTGGGACAGAGAAGTCTAGTTGATAGAAAAACATGAAATCATAGAGCCTTGAACCCTAGAGACCTCAAGTGCTTGCACCTGTCTCTTCCCTCGAGTCACCACGGCAGAAAGAGTAAGCCTGTTAAATAAGAGCTGAAATTAAAATGTCATTACATGTTTTTAACATGAGAAATGAAAGCAGAGGGGAACTATGGAGGGGGTCCTGCGAGATAGGTTAAAATGGATATGAAAATGCAGTGATTATTATTCATGCCAACTGAAAAAGCTAACGTATGTATGCACACATGCATGTGTTTATGTATGTATGTATGTATGTATGTATGTATGTATGTATTACAATACCCATAATGCTGCAATGGAAATCTTACTCATTTTAAAAAGTAAACCAAAATCCACAACTGGGATTCACAATATCGAAAACTCAGCCTTGTGACCAGCACCTTCCTACCCACTCAGTAGTGAGTTTGCCTTCAGACATGGTCCTACCCGTGTCGTGTGCCTGAAGGTCTGGTAGCAAATGTCTCTGTGCTTTTCTGTCTTTGGCTGGTGTGTAAAAAAAAAAAAAAAAAGGCAGGGACATACCAGGAGGGAACTGTTGTGGGAAATGATTTCAAGCTGTGAGTACGTAAAAAGATTTTTAATTGGCTTAAAGATAGTTCAGGAAATTGATAGGTTTGGTTCTTATTCATTTGTATCCCTTGCTTCATATCTGCGAGGGTCTGGAGAGCAGAAACCATTGCACTTTTGAACCCAAGGGCAGGCTGTCTTTTGAGGGCTGGTGCCTCTGCATCAAGTATAGCAAATTAATCACTTGAAAATTCATCTGGAGGATGGTCAGAAAAGAGCAGCTCTTTCCCTCTCCCTAAACACAGGGTTTTTATGTAGCAGTCTGGCCAAAAGGGATCCTTGTGCCTTAGCCTCTGCAGTGCTCGGATTATAGGTGTATGCCACCAGAAATCATTCCCTACCCGAAAAGAATTTGTATCACATTAAAATAAAGATCTCTTAAATTGTTAAAATAAAAAAAAAGTCACATTTTACCCAGACAGCTTAGGAATCAACATGCTGTGTGCGATGCATCTGGGACTGCTTTATGACATACGAGAGTTCAGCTTCATTGCTGTGCTTCTCAAAGTTCTGCTTGCAGATTAACCCATAAGAGTGCTGGAGGCTCACGGCTGGTGTCAGGAAAACCCCCGAATGACTGGCATATAGCTTCTAGTTACACTTGCTTGTGAGTGGCAGGTGGCCTAGTGCTTCTCTGAGCTATCAGCAGACTGCTAACGTCCTAGAAGCAGACTTCCTCTCAAGGACAGTTCTAGGAAGTGTGACTCATCTGCTCAGGAAGTGTGCAAGGAGGAGCCCTCCAAATCAAAGAGAGTCAGAGCCATGGCTGCTCACACAGAATCCCCTTGGCTTCTGCTTTGCTCTAACCAGGAAGTGAGATTTTAATTACCAGGCTGCTCAGATTTAGACAGAGGAGGCCTGTGGCCTTTGTAAGAAGGCTGAGAGGCAGAGGGAGGGAGCCCTGGTCTCCACACATGGGGACAGTGTGAGTCCAACTCCATTAATCATAGACAGGAAAACTGTCTTGCAGACTACAGCCCGTGGGGTGGGTGGGTATGTAAGTAGTTACGTGTGGAGGGTGTTTTCAAGAGCATGTGGGTCTCAGTCCACATATGTGCTGGTGTGTGGAGGCCAGAGATCAACACTGGTGCTTCAACTGCTCTTATATTTTGATACAAAGTTTCTCCCCAGTTTAACTAGTTTGGCTGGCCAGATCCAAGGACCCTCCTGCTTCCACACCTATATCCCCTAGGGCTGGAATTATAGAGATGTGAGGTGTGATGTCACACTCAGCTTTCTGTAGAGAAATCTGAACTCACACTTGTGTGACAAGCACTTTAGTAACTGAAACAACTCCTCAGGTCTCAAATATAGCTTTTTACTTAGTGCAAAAGGCTCCAGAAAGGCAACAGTATTCTGTGAGATTCTGCTCATGCTAGACTAACAATGCATGGTTCATGGGCATGCATTCTCTGCCCGGCACTATTCTAGGTTAAAATGCCTAACAACTCTGGGATGAAGACAGTATTGTCATCTTTACTGTGGAGCTCTACAAGTTGAGATGTGTGCAGGATCATGAAATTCACCAACTATTCAAGGACAAATGTTATTGTCTCCTTCACCAAAATTTTCTTTCTAAAAATAAAAAAAAAAACTATTGGTAGCAAAAAGTCCTCATTCTCTGTTAAGGGATATAGAGATCAACAGCATGGTTTTTAAAGCTGTGACGACAGTTCCCCTAACTTCTAACGCGTCAATGGACTCTACCCTTTCTTCATCCTATTTCCTCAGAGCGTCAGCTAGAAGAGTGGGTTAGAATGGGGGTGTTGTGATTTACAACCTATCCTTTGTGACAAGTGCCAACATGCACTAGAGAAGCTGGTTGCAGACAGAGGGCAAGAGGAGAAGAAAGAATCCTGAAGGGGGCCATTAATTCCCTCAGCCTGAAGGACGGAAGAATTCCTGTGTCTGGTTCAGAAGCATCGCTACGATTAGCACCAGTAACAACAGGGAGAATTTGCTGTGTGCTGGGCTCGGTTCTCATTCTTCATGCTTATTTATTTACTCTGATTGCTCCATTTTACCAAGGAAAATGAGGCACATAGAGACTGAACGACTTACCCGAGGTTACCCAAGCTTAGCTTTAAATCCAGGCTCAGTGGCTCTAGAATCTTCTTTCTGAAATATCATGCTCCACTGAGCAGCACGGAAAGGAAGGATCAGGACTGCTCTGGGGCCCAATGCCTATGAATTCTGGCTGGGGAATATTTGAAGAGCACTGTGCTTTATCCTTAGCGCCCCACAGCAACCAGCAGTTGAAGGTGATGTGATTAAGCCTGCTTAAACAGACTTGATTCTGGAAATGGGTTCTTCAACAGCACAAGAAGGAACTATTTCCAATAATGCTTTTCATGGAGAATTAAAGAAGACTATTATGTGTCTTGAAACCAGAATTCCTGGATACTGAGCAATTGTTCTGGAGTCTTGCATAGAAGCAGTTATGCAGTCATGTGACCAGCAATGATGCACAAATGCAAACATCTTTTTTTCACTTCCCTTATTGGAGAGGAAACACTTTAATTGGATAAAAGATTTTGTCTTTAAACAGACTCCAAGAAAGAAAGAGAAGCCAGAGTCCTAACCAGAGTGGAATATGTAGAGTAAGGGGACATGGAAGTCAAAGGCAGCCTGATGAACAGAGGGAGCTGCTGAACAGCCCAACCCTGGACCTGGGGGAGGAAGACAGACCTCACTAGACTGAGCTGCCAGTCAGATAGAAAAACACAGATGGCATTTTCAAGAAAGGATGTTGTAATAAGGTTGGAAAACATCTTCCTCAAATGTCCTAAGAAGACTTGGAATGGCCAAGAATGATGGTTAAGCTCTCTTCAGGAGTATGGGGAAGAATAGCCAAGAAAGCAATCCTAAACTGTTCTTAAAATTCCTCAGTTTGAACATTCTCTCTTCACAGTAATGCAAGACTTGCCCCCATCACTCTCACTGTCTACAGCAAGCCCCTAATGGGTCTCCATATTAAAATAGCCAGAATCATCTTTAAAAAATGTTGATCCAGCATGGTGGCACTTGCCTGTACTCCCAACACCAGAAGGCTGAGACAAGAGAATTTAGGAGCCAACCCTGGCTCAAAAAAAAAAAAAAAAAACAACCATACACGTATTCATATATATAAAGAAAATAATACACTCTTAAGAATGCCTATCTGAATATGCTATTTCCCTGCTCTGGCCCTTGAGAGACCTGCTGTTCGGAAAAAGAACACTGAAATTCTTGGCCTTCCCACAGACACCCTGGAGGCCCCTGTGATCTACCTTCAGGTCTGCAGACACAGCTTTCCCTTGTTGATCCTGAACCTTTGTGATACCTGGGTACCCTTCCTCACCAGCTTTGCCTTCTCTGGTCCTCAGAAGAGCTTGGCTGCTTCCCTGTCTGATGCCTTCAGAGCACCCACTAGCTTCCCCTCTCAGCAGATAGCACAGCCTATGGTAGAACCTTTATTGTGTGACGTGGTAACATCTGTTTCATCCATTATGACGTGAGAAACTAATGATAAGCAGTTACATCTCCACAGGCTAGGTGTCTAAATTATATCCTCCTGTCTGAGCAGTGCATATCAGGATAGGGACAGCTTGGAGAAGTAACACAGCCAGTGAAAAGCAAAATAACCAGCCCTACCGAAATGTGTTTAACTCAGTGTTTTCCTAATTCACTACAACACAAAGCTCCTGTTTGTGAAACATCTACCAACTTCTTTGGCATATCACCATGTGGTTACCCTGAAGTGACTTCCCTGTGTCTGTGTTCATGAATCACTATATGGAAAACTAAGAATACCTGCTATGACTCTGATGTGCCTGAGACATGAACTACTGTTGCATAAGGCACCAGCAAGCCTATGTGAGTTCGTCACAAACCCAGCTGGCACTGCACTGGAAAACTACAATACCATGTGAATCACAGTTGTGGGACGGGAAATACTGCTCAGGACATAGATATAGGGAGAATGGTGTCAAACTGGAGGACCCAGGGACATTGGTGATGAGTTCTTGAATCCATTCTTCAATTGAACGCATTATTTTGCAATTGACGGTCCCCGTGATACAGTGGTGGTTTTGCATTTGAAAAGAGGACAAGAGAGTGAAATATATAATGATATAAACATCTGGTGAGCAGGACGAATGACATCAGGCAGGGTTTGGCAAGAGATGAAAGAGTTTTACACACTAGAGGGAAATGCGTTTGACAGCAGGCATTAGCACAAGCAGGAAGAATCTGAAACTTTCTGAATTGGAAAGGGACAGGAAGGGAGGAAAGGATGCGATGGTAGACTGTGCTGGCTTGTCGAATGTTAACTTGACACAAGCTACAGTTATCTGAAAAGAAACCTCAATTGAGAAAATGCCCCTGTAAGATCGGGCTGTAAGGCATTTTCTTAATTAGTGATTGATGGGGTAGGGCCCAGTCCATTGTGGGAGATGCCGTTCCTGGGCTGGTGGTCCTGGGTTCTGTAAGAAAGTAGACTGAGCAAGCCAGGGGGAGCAAGCCAGTAAGCAGCACCCTTCATGGCCTCTGCATCAAGCTCCTGCCTCCGGGATCTTGCCATGTTTGAGTCCTTGCCTGACTTCCTTCAGTGGTGAACAGTGGAAATGTAAGGCAAAACCCTCTTTCCTCCCCAAGTTGCTCTGGTCATGGTCTTTCATCACAGCAATAGAAACCCTAAGACAAAGACTAGAGTGGCAAGGACGCTAAATAAGAAAAGTATAGGCATCAAAATTCAGAGTTCGAATACAAGCATTGTACCATCAAGCTGATATTGTTCATGTGATGTGGTAGCTGTAATAACACCATCATAAGGCCTTCTGAGAATACAAGTACTCCTGTAGCTATGGGAAAGTAAGATTCACTTTAAAGAGAACTATTTAATTGTACACAAAGGTAGATACTAAGCTACCTATCAGAACACCCATAACTTCCCAATAGAGCTTTGAAATGAAGATACCGCCATCAGTCGTGACAGAGCAGGCTATAGACAGTGATCTCTGGTGCTGGTCAAAGGCTTGTGGGGTCTTACTCTGCTGGAATAGTCCTGGATTCTGGTGAAGTCTGTGGTAGGGTGTTAGAACATGCTTCTCTATCTAATAAGATCCCTAGTTGATTTTGGGATACAGCTAGATTTAATGGCCAGTTTAAAATGTAATTTTTTAAATCAATAGAGACAGCAGTTTCTTTGAAAGTTCTATCTATCTGTCTGTCTGTCTGTCTGTCTATCATCTATCTATGTGTGTATGTACACATGTATGGGTACTCTGTGCACACATGAGGTGGCCATAAGAGAATATCAGGGTGTTTTTTTTTTTATCATTCTCTGCCTTTTTTGAGGCAGGGTTGTAATGATATTTTATTTGTGCACCCTAATAAAACTTATCTGGGGACCCGAGAACAGAGCCAGCCACTAAATTAGACATAGAGGTCAGGTATGGTGGCACACACCTTTAATCCTATCACTCGGGAGACAGAGATCTGTCTGGATCTCTGTGAGTTCAAGGCCACACTGGAAACAGAGCCAGGTGTGGTGGCACACATCTTTAATCCCAGCCCTTAAGATCTCATGTCTTTGCTTGGGAAGGACACACGCCTTTAATCCCAGGAAGTAATATGGCAGGACACAGAAAGGTATATAAGCCATGAGGAAACAGGAACTCACGCTCTGGAGGCTGAGGAGTTGGTAAGGTGAGATTGGCTGTGGCTAGTTCTGGTTCTCTGATCTTTCAGTTCTCACCCCAGTATCTGGCTCCAGGTTTCTTTTTTATTAATAAGATTGTTTAGCAATTCATCTTAGACAGAGTCTCTCCCTGAACCTGAGGTTCATATTTCTCTCAACTAGGCTGGAAGCCAGCAAACCCCAGCAATCTGCCTCAACAAGCCTTCCACCTCCTCTTTCCAGGGTGTTACAGGTGTGCTGTGGGAGCTGAACTCTGGCCCTCATGTTTGTGCTCAAGTGCTCTGACTCACCAAGCCACCTCCCCACTTCCTAGACTGCAGCAACGTCTACGAAGGAAACTTGTCAACACCACACTGCAGAAATGGCAATTGGAAGACCAGTCAGCCACATGGGCACTTGCTAGATATCTTGTTTTGACAAAAGCATAGGATTTGTTGAATTATTTACATGCTTGTTTCTCAGAAAGTGAAGACAAGTGAGTGCTATTCTGGATACACTGTTGCTGTGAAAGGAGCAGTTGTTGTTATGGAAGTGACAAGACACTGGAGCCACATGATAAACTGTCTGTAAGGACTGAAAATAGGTGAGTATGTCAGTTGTGAATCGAAGATTTGGGTGACTCTGATTTCAAAGTGATCTAGAAGGCTATCTATCTCAAGATAGGTCAAGAAAGAAAGAATAATTCTTAAAAGGGGAGGAATAGGAAGGGAAAAGAAAATTCCAAGTAAGTGACAGATTATTAAAAACTGAATTACACCTATGTCAGATATGGCATGGGAGCAGAGGGTTAACAAAAGCAGAAGCCTGTGAAGAAAGCGACCCACCTGGGAAGCTTTTTGACTGTCCTTATGAGCACGTGTACCAATCAGCTAAACATTGGGGTCTATTGTAACTAGGAAAAGGGTCCTAGTTTTTAAAGCTATGATTAGAGTGAGAAAAGGATGACTGAGTTGACTAGGCGGATGTCTTCAGATAAGGAGGAACTTGACACAGAGGAGGTAGAGGAGCGTTAGTTTGAAACTGGAGAAAGAGACATAGAATTTCAGTTCAGGCGATAGGTCAGCTACTTGAAATGAATCTTTCCAGGAATAAATGAACTCTATTCTGTGTACTTATTACAGAAATTGTCATCTTGGTGGATTCTTGGTTGTAAAATAGTTTAGAATGACAGCAGACACCACTCTGCTCGGAGTTTTTGCCATTGCTCACAGTCATCCTATGTGAGGAGGGCTGCCCATACCACCTTGAGAGCTGCCCATGCGTATGCAAGCTAGACCCACACCTTGGCTGCTAAGTTTTAAACGTTGAGCCACTGATTTTAAGTACTTGAGGTGAGTATCCTCTGCACAGGCATGACTTCAGTGTTCATGCTGAAGCCGCAATGACAGGGTATAGAAATTCTGTGGAGCTTTTGGAGAAAAGTGGGACTAGATGGGAAGAGTCACGGAGAAACAATAGAGCTTCACAAAAAGAAAGAGGGTGGAGAGTTCACTCTTGGGCCTTTCCTGGACTCTTGGGCTCTCCTGTGTGGCCTATACCCCTCACAGCTGCAGTCCCACAGCAAACATTAATAATCCCTTCGCCTGTCTTACTGTAAGTAAGATGCACCGTGGTAACTATAACACAGAAAAATGAATGCGAGAAGAACTGCCCAAGTTCTGTAGAAAATGTCTTTCAGCTTGTAAATATACAAAAGTTTTGTTCTGACGTTTCATAAGTGTGTGAGACTGACAGGAATTTCAGCTAATATTCTAAATCAGACATCAAAAGTAATTTTAGTGTATACAAATAAATTATGATTATTATAGTAAAAGACCATTTCTGTGAAAAAGACATGGTGGAACAACATCCATTCCTCTTGACAACAGTGTCAGAAATGTAGATGTGAGGGACCCATGACATCCCCTCATGCTTTCTGTGAAAGTAACAGAAAGTTATGAAAGAGTATTTATGATGTGTGAAGATGTGTTGCAGCCAATGGCACCAGCCCAAGGCACAGCGCCTGGTGTTGAGCATACCTGCCTCTTATTACTATTATTTTTAGTTATGGGAAACTCACATCTATATAACTTTTCTTACCTGTAAAATAAGAACAATATTTCCTGTGTTATCCAGCTATAATATATGCTTAGTAAATGGTGGCTATTATTATAACCTGGGTGTTCAAATAGTGACAGCTCCCAAATACTCAACAATAGATCCATTTAATCTAAAGCCAGTGTATTAGAGTATTTGAAGCAGGTGCCATCCTGGACGACATTTTTATCAATTACCTTTTAATTGAAAGTAAACTTTTTTCATACGATATATGCTGATCATTTTCCCTTCCCTCTTTTCCTCCAGATCCTTCCTACCTCCTCAATCTTCCAACTCTTTATCAATGATTTTTTTGAAGAACTTGTATGCCCATAGGTAATGGATAATGAATAATAGTCTAAAGAGTAATGAATGTGGATTTAGGGGGATCATGATGTGAAGAAATTCCCGGACAAATTTAAACATAATTTACTAGGAGTAATGCCCTTTGGGACATTTTTAAGCTGTATAAGCTCAGGTGAATAAGACTTATAAGCCACAAAGCTTAGCGGCTATAACAGTTCACCTAAGAAGCAGCTGGGAGATTACAGGTCTTGATTTAACTTGGGTGGTAATAAACTTCATGTAACTTCTAGCTATAAGACCAGGAACATTTTAACCAAATAAAATACTCTCAAAGAAGGCATCTCTGCCCAGGTTAATGGAAGGTTCTGTCTAATTCTGGGGCCACGTTTAGGACACTCTGGCATACAGAAGAACATGTGGAGGGGGACTCCCATGAAAGTTTGCCAATTGAGAACCAGTTTAGGAAATACAGGACAGGATTAGAGAAAAGAGGCCCTGGCCTCCTATCTTTGTTTGAGGCAAAGAACCCAGTCAAACCTCACTCTCTGCACATTTATGTCTCCTCATGGCCATCTGCCTCCTGCTAATCCACAACATGGCCCTGTTCAACCACACTAATCTTCCAGTGAACTGTCTTACCCTCACCTCCCTTGACCACTCTGACTACAATCTCTTACACCTCCATAATCCTCTCTTCGTTTCACTGAGCCAACCCCCTTTCTCTGTCCCCTTCTCACCATTGAACCCCCCACTCCCCTCACTTCCCTCCCCCCACTGACCTAACACCTCTAACACCTGCCAGGGGTGTTTACACATCAGTGTGCTGATTTTTCCTAAATCTACTCCTTCTTCCCGTATCCTCAGCCACCTATTAGAAATGTCTTCTAAATGGAGACGCAGGGCAAACATGAAATCACATTATGAAACATAGACTGAATCCCTGGACTGACTTCCCTAAACAAATGCCCTGTGCTCCCACTGAGATTCCATTCCTAAGCCTGATGGGTCTTGTTTGGGCCAGAGGATAAAATAATAAAGGGTAGGTTCATTTCCCAGTGAGGTTTGGACTGGACCTAATCCAGTCTTTTTATAGTTTTTGTTTTATTACTTCAAAATAACTAATTTCTGGGCCCAGGAATCGTTACTTGTTGGGGGAATTGGCTAAGTCACTTGAAGGAAAACAAAAAAAACCAAACCTTTAACTAGAAGTTATTAAAATAATGGGAGCTAGAGATTTTGTGCTTGTGACTTTTTTCTCCTTAAATGGTTAATTTTTTTTTAATTTTCCATCATAGACCAGCCTCTGCTGCTGTGGCTCTGGTCTTGCCCCTGGGCTTATAGCAATGGAAAAAAAAATTCTCTTTCTTTTGGCAACAATGTCGTTCTTTGGAAGGCTTTTCTGCACTTCTGTTTCTCATTCTGCATTTCTGCGCTTTCACCATCCACATTGCACAAGAGCAATGCATGCCTGCAACATGACAGGCGAGCCATCACAAGGGACCTCTAACGAGCTGTTCTGTAGCTGTTGGAACAGGCATTCTTATTCGAGTTTTCAAACACCTCTAAAAATTATCTGGTGCGATGCTTTGTTACTGTTGCACCCCCAGGCAAGTCCAAAGAAGTGGGGTACAGTTCCTGGAAATGTTCGTTTCATTTCCTTCCCGCTGTGTCTCCCATCTAAAGACCAGTCCATTCACTTCCTCTTCTCTTTAGCTCTCTGCACTGGACGACCTCAGATTACAACTGTGGTGCCCACTGAGCATGGTGTTGGTTGCACACCCAGCATTTGACATGTTGCATGTTGTGGTTTGTGCTCAAAGCTGCGGGGCTGTACTGAAGGTATCGGAATTTACAAAGACATTGGTGTGGGATTCAGTTCTCTCTCATTCATTAATAGCTATCATCAGACTACAGCTGAATATGGCTGTGACGATTTAATCTCAGTTTCTCAAATTTGTACAAAGTCTCAATGTAAAGGAAGAACTTGGTCAAAGTATCAGACAGCTGGCCTGTCGAGAAGTCATGAGTTCAGGATGGGATGAGAGTCCTAACTGGTAAAACTTGCTAGTTAAATCGTGAGTGAAATCTCCTATGTGGAGAAAAGTATAATTCAGTTATGTAAACAAAACAAGATGGTTCCTGATCTCCTGGAGGCATCTGACTTGAGAGGAAGTTAAGCCGACCTTAAAACCATTGACAAGCCAGCCATGATGCACACCTATAATCAATCCCAACATTTCGGTGGCAGAGGCAGCACAAACAGGCTCTCAAGGTCAACCTCGGCTACCCAGAAAATTTGAGGCTAATCTGACCTACAACAGGAGACCCTATCTCCAAAGCCTGAAAGCCAAACAACCACAAATGCCATTCAACTTCATGCTTGCAAATTTGCTGTGTAGTACATCTTATTTTCTTAGGGTGATTAGTGTATATAGCTTTCTAATGTGTGAATACTACTTTTACATACTTTTTTTCCTACATATAGAATGAGGGATGCTTTATGTTTGCTTGATTGCTCTTTTTTTTTTTATTGTGACAGAATCTTATTATTATTTCTCAGGTTAGCTTCAGACTGACAATCCTCCTGCCCCAGCCTCCCAAGTGCTGAGATTATAAGTATGCATCGCCACACTTGGATAAAGTTTTTGTTAATCCAAAAGAACTTCCCCCCAAACAAAGGAATCTCTTTATATTCTTGACCTCAAGCAAAAGTCTCTCAAAGAAAAGATGCTCTCTCTTCTTTGTTTTTAAAGCTAACGTAATACTTGGAAAAGGCATGGTGATCTCAAACAACAGTAGAATCACATTAGTCTTTTAGTAAAACTGGTAAAAGAGAGTTAGGGAGAGAGTTTGCAAAGATCGTTCCTCTGGGAATGTGGCCTCAGCTTACTAATGCTGTCTCTGTAAGTCTTTGCAGGGGAGACTTCGAAACATCACAAATAGTTTATTTTCAGCAGGCATTGAACCTGGGACTTTGCACATTCCAGGCAAGCACTCTGCCACTAGCTAGATCCTCACTAATAATCTTTAAAAATCTTAAGTCATATAGTTGGTGGAAACCTTGGAAAGCATGGCATATATATATATATATATATATATATATATATATATATATATATATATATATATATATAGTCCCTTACACTTCAGAAAAGGCGTCCAGCAAAAGCAGCAGAGGCGGACCCAGCAGTGTTCTATGTGAACAGCACAAAGGGAAATAAAGCTAACATGTCAGCTGACTCAACAGTGATGTTATTAACTATGGAAAATCGATGTCAAATTTATGCCAGTTGTTTAGATGAAGTTATTGTACAATGCATGAGAGTATAAACCAAGATCTAAGGTAATACTCACATGAGTGAACATTAATACTAAAATAAACCAAATAAGTGTCTTCCTAACTTTTAAGATCCTAATAATCCTAAAAGTTGCACATACAAGTCATCAGAACAACTTTCTTAAATGAAATTTCCCATGATAAAAATAGATTACCTCATATTCTACATTGCCTCATATTCTATATTTAATACTAAAACAACTTCTATTGCATGAGATTGCTTAAGAAACTTGAATTCATGTCAGAGATGGTTGTTTTTTATAACAAATAAAGTGTCTATTTTGCAAACACAAAATTGATTTAAATGAACTTGAATTTTAAAATATAAAAATAATATTTAGTACCAGGAAAATTAGGTATTAAATATATTCAAACATTTCTCTTATGTATAGAGATCAAACATAAAAGCAACAAACAAGATAAGAATTTTAAGTTAAGGTTAAAATGGTGCAATGAGAGATATGAAACACACACATTCATATAACACTGATAGTTGATATGTTACAGACATACATGGTGTGACTAGGGGTTTGATTCTGAAAAGGATGGAGAACTTCTAGCTTGGGTTTTTTTCAGTTGGTATGAACATGGAATCATGTATTGAGCTTCAGAACACTTACCTCCAAATAATCTGTGGAGCAGTTTACATCATTTTCCACTTCGAATTCCAGAAATGTGTAGTTCACAGTGTTGCCTTTTGTTGCTTGGATGGTCCAGTTACAACGTTGATCATTATCATAGGGCTTTGGATAATTTATGCTCTCCAAGATGCCATGGGTTTTATTCACTATTACTACATTGTCACATACTGTAGGGAAAAAAAAAAAAACAGCCATGAGTGTTAAGAAGAGCTCTCACACATATCACAATGTCTCTGAGATACATATGAAGTTCCTATTTAACAAAACACCAACATTTTTCCACTTTTCCCTCTAGATTAATAAATATATATGTATATGTATACACAGCATGGCATTTTTAAGCTGAAGGAGACTCCATTTAGAATAATGTGAAATAATATTTAGGTAAATTGAAGTATCAAAATGTCATGAAAATGGAACAGCTACGCTAAAATAGACATCCAGTTCCTATCTATTGTTGGACAAATAACTTGCCTCTACTCTGATCTCTCTGCTCTTTTTAGAAACATGTGGTGAGCATTCTATGTTTTCTAGCTTCAGCATTTAGAAGAAATGAACATTCGGATCTTTGAACTCAACAGTTAGGAATATATGGCCTTTGTGAATGGTACATGAGTAACACCTAGAACATCAGCTATCTGTATAAGCGTCAGCAAAGACTCTGTTGTCCCTCAAGTTATTCATCATGAAATTCTGAGTGAACAGAGGGAGCACAAAGTAGGAAAGAAGAAATCAAACGCCTCAATTATGAACGATTTTTGAAATATCACAGGTAGCCTTTTCTTAAGATTTTTATCAAAACCACACAAATGGCTCGAGCTATGTCTAATCCTGGCATTAGGCACCAAATCTAACCAATTGAAATGACCTGAGCAAAGTAAATGCATCACTCTTCTCATTGTCTATATTTTTAAAAATTATTTTCTATTTCTTTATTTATGATGTGCAATAAAAAGAAGATGAGAAAACAAAAATTGAAAGAGCTGTCTCTGCGATGTGTCTCCTAGACATTTTCTACTCCACACTGAATGTGGTGACACCACTTAGAGATTTGGGGACGTAGCGTATGGCCCTTCAACTTCTTCCTTTGCTGTAGCAGGCACAATAACCAGCTGCATTCTTCTGAAAATCTTCAGGCTACATTTTTGTTAGAGGATTTCTCAGTAATATTTTTTGCTTTAGAAATGTGTGGGAGAGTACTCCCATAGGCGATGGGAACCATAGGCCTGGTGGCCAGGTCAAAACAACAATCTGCATTCCACACCTACACAGGTGGCTCTCACTTCTCACCAATCACACTGTCCACAAAATCTCCAATTTCAAATGGCAAGTGGGTTTTGTTTGTGTGTGTGTGGTGGGGGAGGGGAGTGGGCAGGAACTCATGTAGCACAGGCGAGCATTGAGCTAGCTACATAGTTAAGGATGACCCTGAACTTCTGACCCTCCTGCCTCCACTTCTCAAATACTGGAATCCTACACACATGCCACCACACTTAGTTTTATGACGTGTTGGAGATGGAATTTAGAACTTCACACTAGGCAAGCACTCTGCTGACTGATCCACATTCCCAGCCTCTGCTTCTATCTGTGAGTACTGATGTTGTGTATATAAAAACTATTAGAAGGAAATTAAAAAAGAGAGAGAGAGTGGCTTTAATAACCTGATAATAACCAAGAGAAAGCGAGGCAAAGCAGTGACAAAATTAAAGGAACTACCACATGCGCAGTCAAACAGATGGTCACCCCATGGAGCATTACAGAGCAGTTTGCATATAAAATAATGATTAATTTCTGAAGAACAAAGCTATACAGAAAATCTCAGTATGCCAGGGGAAGGAGGTGGACAAGAAAGGGAATGGGAAGATATGGTCCACAATAAAGAACGTATCTTCCCCATGCATGCTTCTCTAGTTAGTAAAACTAAGGCAGAGGACAGAACCTAGGCTAAGAGGTTAGTTTGTTCGTTGGACCAATGTCTCATGAAAGGATTGTGAAATGTGGCGTGAGTGAAAACCAGGAATCATTAGAACATCCCACGACCTGGAGCTGAACTTCAGCCCTCTCTGAGTCTCTTGGTTTAGTAGATGCTTTGTGATACGAGACTAGGTTTAATATGTATGCGTTTTTCCTTCCAATGACTTTCAGAGTTTTCACATAAGAACTCAAGACTAATTTCAAAGGCTCAAACCACTGGTTAACGTTATCTGGGTTGTTTCACTGAGTCTGGTGGTCTGCTGGGGGTTCTTCGCTGCTGGAATTTGTACTTACTCTGCCGGTATTTTACTTCAAAGCCACGTCCTTGCTGACCTTCATCTGTCCTCAGTTTCAACAATATGCTGTCTCTACTTGTACGGATGGGAGCTGGTGTTGTGTCTCCACAGAGTTTATGTATCAGATGGGAGCTGGTACTTGGGCCATCGTACACCTTTAATAAGACATTTTACACATCAGACGATCAAGGCTATGATTGTAAAGGACTTTTCAGTAAAGAAATGGGGACAAAATATATGTATTCTTTAACAAAACAATAGTTCTAAATTATATCAAAGTGTCTCTAAACTTGGGCAATAAATGTATGACAGTAAGTAAGTGAACTGAGATTGAAATCTGAACATGCAAAATGAAAGTTCAATACAAACTTTGAGACCATAACTGATATGTGTTGTTTTTTTATTCCAAAATGCATAATTTGAGAAACTTCAGTCCATTTTATTTATAGGATTCTAGAGGGGTGAATTGCAGGAACTATAAAAAGACATAGCTAGATGAGTTTATTATTTCCTCTAATTCACCTCAATAGTTCAGTCAATTGTAAGCTTTCAAAGCATACATAATAAAGTTATGTAGATTATGCTTAGGACAAGGTCCATAACTACTCAGGATATTTTTTACCAAATCTTTATAGCTTATAGTAAAATACCTCAAATAATTAATGTAGTAAGTCATTCAGTACACATTCTATGTAGAAGATTTTCATTTTACCACATTTCTTTAAGGTTTAACTTTGTTTAATTTTTTTTATGTGGATGTTCCTCTACTTATATCTTGCTTCTTTTTGAATCTTAAAAATATTTTTTAAATGTATCTTGTGCATTGAGTAAGGAAGGAGCATTAAACAGCACAGAGTCTCATTGTACATACAGCCAAGTAATCCAGAGAGCAGCTGGGGTGATGCTCCAGGTGGAAGTCTTGGAATTCGAGCTGGAAAGCACTGCCATGGCTGGCTTCCAGCCGCCAGTAGCACTCAGAGCTGTGGTAGTAGGGCATCGGGTAGTTGGGGGATGTGATCAACCCCGTGGGGGTGGTGAGATTGCCTCCACAGCCTATGGGGGGAAACAGTGAATGAAACATGGCCTTTTCCCCTGCAAGATTAAGATTAATCATCCTGCTGCTACTCTGCTCTTCTTTATATGCTGACCTCTCTCCAGTGCTGGGAAAGGAGGAGCCCGAGGCCTCACACAAACTAAGCAAGAGTTCCAACACTGAGACTCACACCTCAAGTCTTTAGCTTTCAGACACAAGAACTCATTATGCAGTCCAGCCTTGCCTCAAACTTGGGGTCCTCCTGCCTCTGCCTCCCCGGGGCTGGGATTGTAGGAGTTCGCCACCACACCCAACCTGTGCTCCTCTTTAACCTGTGCTCCTGCTCCTCACAGAACAGGAGACCATCTAAAGTTCTGCTTCACATTGGTGGACTTTCCTTTTGCCAGTCAAAATGAGTAACTTGATGAATTTCCTTGGGAATTAGAGCTTTCCTCTTCCTTCAAAATATATGCTGCTGTTAATGTCCAAAGACATTTGTAATGTTGGAATTTATTATAAAGAATGATAAAAGTTAACTAGGAAAGTGGACAAGGGGTGACAGAGACTGACAATGAAAAAAACCATTCAGCTTGGCTTCTCCAGTAAAAAGTCAAGTCTTTGCTACTTACCTGTTGATACTGCGTCCCAGTAAACGAAGAAACCCCTCCTTGTGTCCACTCTATCACTCTTAAACCTCAGCCATAGCTTGTTACTCTGAGAGATGATTTTAGGAGGCAAAACTGAGCCGCAATAATATCCAAGGAGTGGTGAAGTTTCGTAGCCTCCATCTCTGTGACAGGTACAGAAATGAATGGATTAAGTTACAGTTGGGCTGCAGCATACAATAAACACACAACATATTCAAAGTATGGGGATGCAGATGAGCAGCTGATCTCCTCAACTAGCATCTCCTAAACATTACTTTAAAAAACATCATTTCAAGTTCTCAGGTCTTAGTTCTTCACTGACTAGAATTTGAATGACTTAATAAAGAGTATCTATTATTTATGGCTTGTGTGGCATCTTTATATCAGCTGCAGAGAGAATGTATTTGAAATTCACCTTCTCAAAGCCTCTGTCAAAAAGATCAGAGAATACAGAATATAGAATTAGATCAGAGAATACAGAATATAGAACTAGTTATCCACAGTATAAACCAGTATTTTTAATTTTTAGAGAGAAATATTACATATTTCTTACTGATTTTGAAATCTTCAAGATGTAATATAATATATTTGTTATATTTGGAACAATTGTAGAGATAATTGCTGTGGGATGGTCTGTATGTCAAATGTGTTGCTCTGATTGGTCAATAAATAAAACACTGATTGGCCAGTGGCCAGGCAGGAAGTATAGGTGGGACTAACAGAGAGGAGAATTGAGAGAACAGGAAGGCGGAAGGAGCCACAGCCAGCCACTACCATGACAAGCAGCATGTGAAGATGCCAGTAAGCCACAAGCCACGTGGCAAGGTATAGATTTATGGAAATGGATTAATTTAAGCTATAAGAAGAGTTAGCAAGAAGCCTGCCACGGCCATACAGTTTGTAAGCAATATAAGTCTCTGTGTTTATTTGGTTGGGTCTGAGCGGCTGTGGGACTGGCAGGTAACAGAGATTTGTCCTGACTGTAGGCAAGGCAGGAAAACTCTACCTACAGATAATTATTTTCCTAAGAAGTTTGCGGGGGGGGGGGACTTTAAATCTATAGGTATTTTTTTTAAAAGATGATTTATTGAATGTTAAAGCCAAGTGCTTAGTTGCTATAAATTAAGAAAATTAAGCTAAGCATGAAAGTTCCCACCTATAATCACAGCACTCAGTAGGCTGAATCAGGAGAATTTCTGTGAGTTTAAGGGCAGCCTAGACTATCTAGTGAATTCTGAACCACCTCAGGCTATAAAGTGAGACTCTTAAGCTCCCCCTCCCCTCAAATAAAATTATGTTAGTTTAGTTTGATATGGTTCAATTATAATTTGTTGATTTGGTATCTTACTTTATAGCAAAGAATAAAATTTATTATAAAGTGTTAAAAGATCCCAAGTTCAAAATAAGAAGTCAAATATTTTATATAGTTGACTGCCAAAATAATCAGCCTAATATTACTTGATGTAATGATATAAGAATATATATAGAAAGATATATACTAATATACCATTGCCAGTGATATAATTTTTTTAAAAAATTACATTTATTTAAAGTGCAAACAGTAAAAGAAAATGTCAAGCACTGAAATCCACAATTCTAGACTTTTATTATTTAAAAACAAGATAAGGTTGCTATTACACCAACGATTTTAGTGATATTATTAGAGTAAATGGACAGCAAAGATCCAAAACCTTAGACTGATTTTACATAAAGAATGAAGGTACTTGACTATGGTGGTAGGTGTTGATTATCAACTTGACACAACCCAGAATCACTTGGGATAGGAATCTTAATGAGACAACTGGGTTGGTCTGTGGCCATGTCTTTGGGGTATGGTCTTAATTAAATTAGCCAACATGGGAAGAATGAGCCCACTGTTGGTGACATGATTCCCTAGGCAGGGGTTCCTGAGCCATATGAGATAGAGATAGAGAGAGAGCTGAGCACAAGTAATGAAGTAAGCTAGCAAGAAGCGTGTGTGCATTCATTTCTTTTTGCTCTTGACTGTGGGTGTGATGTGGCTAGCTGAGTTCATGGCATCTTGCTCACATGCTATGACAAACTGGAACCTGAAATTGTGTGCTACAATAAAGCCTTCCTCACCTAAGTTTCTCTTGATCAAGGTATTTTATCACAGCAACGGAAATGAAACTAAATGTCAACAATAGTGAGCACATTTCGGAATAGTAGTACATCTGTTTCCTTTGCCTAAATAATATCTGAAATTTATTATAAAATATTTCTAATATGAGAATTTGAAATAACTATCAGGGGTCGAGTAGATGGCTCAGTAGTTAAGATTACTCTATTCTTAAAATAGACCAGAGTTCAATTCCCAGTATCCACAATGGGTAGCTCACAACCACGTGCAACTCCAGAGGATCCAACATCCTCCTCTGGCCTTCACAGGCAATGCACTTACATACACACAACCATACCCCAACACATGCATATAAACATAATTTAAATCAAGAAAGTAAAGTCTCAAATAACCACCAAATCTTATACAATTTCTTCTTTTCTTCTATATTTAATTTAAAATGATAAATTTTATATGCCATAAAAGATAACTTTACAAAACTTTCCATGTTTCCTTTAATCTTGTCTGAGAAGATTATTGATGAAAATAAAGGTTATAATGAAATAAAAGCCATACCTGATTTCCAGAAAATCGAAACACTGTTGCCCTGAGCCCTCCTCCAGTTCAAAGTTTACAAAATCTAATTCAATCTGTTCGTTGAATCCCACTGTGATCCTGTAAGTGCAATCGAAGTTATTGGGGTAATTTCTGGGGTAGTTTGGGGAGCTGATTTCTCCATAGTTATCTGTATAGTCTTCTAAGCATACTGTGAAAAGAAACAGAGAGAAATGGGAAACATTATACATTTGCATATGTCCAGTTATGTGCAATGCATTAATTTGAGCCCCTGTACTTGAATTCAGTAGTATTTTTTATTGTTCAAAGATTTATTTCATTTTCGAAACAATGCTTTTAAAATTTCAGATGCAACCAAATCCTATATCTTAACAATGTGGCAAACATAGTCACATATTTTGACAGGATAACAGTTTTATCTTAGAAATGCTACAATTTTTCTAATTCATATAAATTACCATAAACATTAAAATTGGGTTAAACTATGCAGATATGGGGGGGGGAGAAATAATTCACTTCTGTACTTTTCTTCATAACTTCCCTTTATAAATGTATGTATTTATGAGAAATGACCAGGTAGGAGTCTTAGTCATGGAGGAGGTATGGGAGACCAGAGCTAGGTTTGGTAATGCACATCTAAAGTTGAAGGGACTTTCCATCAAAGCCTGTCTCAAGTACAGACAGGCCATGAAAACAAGCAAGCCACCGATCACCTGATCTCCGTGCCCTCATTTCTATGATGGAGATGGCTACTAACTTTGGGTATTGTGTTAAGAGAATGAGATGATGCAGCTAAAGTATCTAACTTACCATAAACATGTGGCAATAATCATCATTATACTTCAAAATAGAAAGAGCCTAATAAAAGTGTAATTATGAAGAAGAGTATGTTTAACTATTACCATGAAATGATTAGCAGCCCACCTGGAATGCTGCATCCTAATTAAATAGCAATGGCTCTCCAATTTGTTTGAACTTTGCCTGTTCAGTTTCTTCAGACTATGTTCAATAAACAGCCCATCACTCCCTTATGCCCTTACAATCCATGATGTTTTATAAAGTCTAGCTTAACTGTGCTATTCATCTAGCTTCAAGTTTCATCCAGTAATGACCTAAATCTAGGTCCTTGGAGTAGACAGAATCCATGACGAAAGGCTGTAAGAAGAATGAGCTATTATATTTTATTGCAAATGAAATAAATGCTGAGGCTGTGTAGTTACATTTCCCTAATTGTTGCCATATATTCATCCAGAATGGGGCGGGGGACATCATTGGTATTGGGAACACAAAGACACATATAAAATGTTATAGGCTCTACTATTTATGTGTGTCCTGTGAAGTAACAAACATTGGTTAAATATTTGAACTTACTCTAAAAACCAAGGCTTTAGTTTATTGAGAAGGCTCACAGTGACAGTTCACTCAGAAAGAAAGCCAAGAAAGGAGGGAGTGAATGAAGGTAAGAGGGGGGGAAGAAAAGTTGTCCAGGATGAGAGAGGACAGTATAAGGTATGGGAAGAGACTTATCCTAAGTGCTTCATACCGAGTTATGAAAATTATAGATAAAAATCATCAGACTAATGGGCTGTAAACGGAATTTAGAACACAATGTTGCTAAAATGACAAAACTAGCAAACTCATGAGTCCACACACAGTTTAGTGTCAGCCAGTTATTCAAATATCTAAAGCAAATTGTCTCTTCAATTAGAAAACTAATTAGTTAATATTCACCCAAAGAAACTAAAGCAAAAAAAAAAAAAAAAGTAAACAGGACTTGAGGGGCACCTGCTGTGAGGACTACAGTAGTGAGTCTGTCCAGGTGGGCACCCCCCCCCATCCCCAGCTGCATGTGTGTCCTCCCCTCAGACCCACTTGCACTCTGGATCCAAGGAAATCCTTGTGCAAGAGAAGACAGAAGACTGCCAGTCTACAGTCAAAGAGAAGACCAGCTTCGTGCCCCACCTACCAGAACTTTTGAACAAGCTCTCAAAAGAAACAAATTAAACAAGGAATGCACTAAAAGAAGTAACGTAGATGAGAAGTGAAATCAAGTAAAATGGAGTAGAAATAGAGAGGGAATAAAAGAGGAAGAGTCACACAGAGTCTCCGGCCAGCCAAAGAGCAGACTCGTGAAAACAGTGCAAATAAATTTGATAAATTTGTTCACAGCCGCAAACTGCCATAGCTGACTCAAAAGAAAATACTAAGATCTTCCATGGCCTCGATCCACCAAAGAAATTCAATCTGTCATTAAACACCCTTCTACAAAGAAAACAGTGTACTCAAACAGCCCCTGGTGATAGTCAAGCAAGTTAAGGAAATATTACACTACTCAGGCTTAGGACACCCTAATTGTCAGGCTAGAAACCTCATCCAATGACTGAGGGAACTGGATGCAGAGATCCACCACCAGACCTCAGGTGGAGCTCCAGGAGTCCAATTAGTAAGAAAGAGGAGGGTTTGTATGAGCGAGAATTGTTGAGACCAAGATAGAAAAAGCACAGGGACAAATAGCCAAATGAATGGAAACACATAAACTATGAACCAATAGCTGAGGAGCCCCCAACTGGATCAGGCCCTCTGGATAAATGAGAGAGTTGATTAGCTTGATCTGTTTGGGAGGCATCCAGGCAGTGGGACCGGGACCTGTCCTCAGTGCATGAACTGGCTGTTTGGAACCTGGGGCTTATACAGGGACACTTGGCTCAGCCTGGGAGGAGGGGACTGGACCTGCCTGGACTGAATCTACCAGGTTGAACTCAATCCTCAGGGGAGTCTTTGCCCTGGAGGAGATGGGAATGGGGGGTGGGCTGGGGGGAAAGTGGGGGGCAGGGCAGGAGGGGGGAGGACAAGGGAATCTGTGGCAGATATGTAAAATTAAATTATAAAATAAAATAAAAAAACAAGGATGGACTATATGATATTGTAATAAATTAGAAAAGAAACAAAGATATCACACTGTTTGGCTGATATATAAGAAGGCCATATATACAGAAATAATATAACTGTGGATATGAGGATCTGGGGAGAAGTTGGGAGATGTTGTAAAGGTATACAATGCAGGAAGCCTGTAAGATATGGAAATCTATCAGTTAATAAGATTGTATATAGTGATGATTTCTAACAAATGAGTAAATTTAATCGATCTTACAATTACTCATATAAAGACACACACACACACACACACACACACACACACACACACACACACAAACTCCACCCATTGAGTTATCTCTCCAGCCCTATAATTCCTAGTTTTCCTACAGAGGGAATGTCAACCTAAACTAGTGAGAGATTTAAAAATATGACAATTAAGCACTATTTTCATTCTAAGGACCAACACACTGGTGAGTGTGCATGCACACACATACACACACACACACACACACACACACACACACACACACACAAACCCAGAAAAGAATTGGTGGGCTATTGGCACACACAAACATAAGAAAATATTTAAGATTTACTAGAGGAAAATATTTTAGAGATTAATAGATTTGAAAAAAAAATTTTCCAAAAAAATATCTGAGCATGCAATATCAGAAATTTCCGAGCTATACAAGCAAGGGAGGAAGGGAGGCCTGACCACTGCCCAAGGTGTTCCAAGTCAAGCTGGCACTAACAGTGGGCTGACTGTCCTTGGCCTTACTTTCAATCTACAGTAAATAGGACCTTCAAACATGAGCACCATCGTTCATCATGTCATTTTGTAATAGCTTTTTTTTTTAAATGAACTATAAAGATGAATTCAATCAGATCCATTTGAATTGCTCAGTAAAAGTTTACTCTGGACCTTAATCAGAATTTCTAATTGAACTCAGATACCTGAGTTTATAAGAAGACAATCTCCTTTTTCTGAGGAATTTTTAAAATGACCATTAGAGTCTGAGAATGCTGTTCTTACCACATTTAAATTTAAAAAATAGAAAACAGATTGCTCTCTGCCCATTTCTTTGAAATAAATTCCCTGTGGCCCTCTTGGCATCCCTTCTTAACTTCATGCATTCTCTTTCTAGGCTCATTCCAAGATGCCCATTGAAAACTAGCACTAAATACTCACTGGGGTGTAAGAGGGAATGAAAAGGATGGGAGATCCCAGTGGATTCACCTTTTTATACTTATATTTGTTCATAATATTGTACTTTGGACCAGCTTTAGTCACTTCTCTGGATAATTGTGAAGCTCTTCTCTTTGCAAAAAAGTAAGAAACATTCATCACAGTTCTACTGTAGCCCTGTGACAATAGAAATGGACTACACAGTGAAACCTGGTTGTTTAGTTTGGCTCTTAGACAAGCCAGCTATTTATTCTTAGATGACAGAGTCAACATTCTAGACTGAGCTCTCCCTCATTAAAAGATTAATCGGGGTAGACTGTGCTTTGTACTTTATTGACACATCATAAAAATAAATTCAATCATGCCTACTGAGATTGTCAGATTTTGTGAAGAGATGCCTAACTTTGTATGATAACTCCGATACTTTCCACTCTTTTGTTTTTATTCAACTCCAGAGTTTTAATAAATGAATCAGGAATTAGTTTGAAAAATAATTGAGTAATTGTGAAATAATATTATTTAATCTTAAAGTTTAAGTTCATTTCGGCCCTTATTTATACTTGTAAAGTTCTTTCTTATTAGTTCTATATTTAATCAGTGGATAAGTAATAGATGTTAATAGGATATGATTATAACTTAAATGGTAAAGTATATCAACTATATTATCTCAATATCCAAATATTTTCTACTTTATTCTAGTAAATGCTGAATGTTATAATTGGTGGTAAGGAGTTGTTAGGAGTTTCTACCCAACATCATTACTTTTGTTATGTCTTTGGTTTTGATCTCCCCAGGCACATTTGAATGAGAACTGCAGCTGCATGCTTAGAGAGGGAGTCAGAGTATGAACAAGAGGATCTCCTTCCTCCCAAACACATATTTAAGAGCTGATATCATAGCGTTATGGCAGAAACTACAGATGGAAGTGTAACTGGATTCAAATCAGGAAATTTTGACTCTATCGAATGAAGACAGGGCAGATTCAGGGGGAAACATCCAAGGGCTGTACTAAGAAACTAAACATCAACAGTTCAAACCATCATCATCACCCTAAAACTAATGTCTGCCAGAGGAATAAAATAGGTTACAAGCCAGTGACTGGTGTCCTCTGGTGCTTTTATCTGACATGATTTCAGTCTACAGAAAATACCCAGAAAAAGATGCTACCTGAAAACGAGAGCCCTCACCTCTGTCCTTCCAGCCAGCAGCTCATTTCATCCAGGCTCCTGGGACACTAGTCTGCTGCCTGGCAACCACCCACTTAACCTCCGTTCCAGTTTCTTGAGCCAGCTGTGCCCTGAGACATACCACAGGGCCAGCCTCAGCAACTCATGCGATCCAGCCGCCCATATGACTTTCTGGGTCCCATCATCTGATTGCTATGTCAAATGCTGTGACTATGTTAACCAGTCCTCTGAGCTCATCCAGCTTCACACAGTGAACAGTCAAGGGGCAGAGAATACGTGCTCCCTTGTCTGTGATTTCAGCTCTGTCTGGACCAACGCAGTAGTGCTGAGGTAATGACTAACACACAGGGAAGCAGGGCGGACAGTCTTTGCAGTTGCTCCTCCAGTGTCTCCTGTTTTAGCACTTGGTTTTTCTCATCTCTCATTTCTTCTCTTTCCTTTGTTCTTCCGGGTTAGAGGGTTTGGGAGGGACTGAACCCCGTCATGCTTTCTGAGCAAATGCTATAGTTGAGCATGCTCCAAACTCTATTCTCTATATCTGTTTTCCTTCCTGTCTAGGTTACCTGTTGCTTTGTTGAGTTTTTACCTGCATTGTATCTTTCTGAACAATTTTATTAAGTTGTAAATTTATTATCCCCCTCCCCAGGTTATGTTAATGGCTCTTGGCTGTCACTTCCCTTCATACCGCCTTCCAAGCTGGTGTAGTGTTAACACAATAATTTCAATCATTACAGAACTATGTTTCATTTTGTATACTGTTACAAAGATCTCCATGATATTTGCAGGCGGCACTGCCTGAATTACATGTTATTTAAGATATAACTAGCTTATTCATGCAGCAAATTAAAATTATGTTCATAGAGGATCAGAGCCAGAAAACATTTCAAAGATCATCAAATCTAATCTATTAATTACACAGATGAGAAAATTGTACCCCACGAAGCTCAACTGACTTACTCCAAATCTAATATTCAGTGTAGTTTAGGGCCAAACATATGAGACAGATGAAACTACAGTGTGGAAAATTGTGCACACACTGTAATTTCCGGAGAAATCCACTTTGGTCTTTGGCTGTTAACCACCTGAATAAGGCCCAGTGAAAATGTCAATTACACAACAAAACACACTACACTTGAAATCCCTGGGCTGTCACTCTCCATGTGCTTGGCTAGATAGTGAGCTCTCTGCCCCATTGAATTTCACCAGAGAGGAACATACACAGGTCCCTTGCACTCTGAATTTCTAAAGTCATGCTTCCAGGACACAGAAGTTGAACTATTTTTGCCTGGATCAAAGTACAGTGACTAAACTCCCTGGAAGAGAAGAGAAAAGCTGGCTAGGGACTCTGAGTGGGAGAACTTCTCCTTTATTTATTATGGGAGAGAGGGCTACAGAAAATGGCACCCCAAAGATGACTGGACACAGACTACCAGAAAGATAAGTCCAGGCCCAGAAAAATCCCCCAAGCTGTGGAATGCTTGGCAAGCAGAGGCACCGTGTGCCTGCTGCGGATATGCGCTGGATGCTACTTTTCTCTATCAAATACTTTTCTAAGTATGCTATAAAAAATAAGGCCCAGCAGGCAGAAGTGGTACACATCTTTAATACCAGCACTCAGGATGCAGAGCCAGGTGAATCTTCATGAGTTTGAGGCCATCCTGATCTAGATGCAGGACAGGCACCAAAACTACACAGAAAAAAAACCCTGTCTCGGAAAACAACAACAACAACAACAAAAAAAAAATTAAGGCCCGGAAACCCTAAAAAAACACACAGCTCATGTAGCGGCATTATCCTATTTTTAATAAGGTGGGCATTGTCTTTATACTTTATTCCAGGTAAGTATTTGTGTGTTTTAGATATTAAATCCCTTTCGCAATAGAGAAAATGTTACCTGATGATGCATTCTTTGTTTCATACTGTATCGAAAAGCCTTCGTGGGCAACAGCAGAGTCGGACACAAACATGAACTTTATTGAGTGGAGACTAGTAAGAGAAGGTGGGATGGATCTTCCACAATATCTGTTCCAAAGAAAGAAAGAAGAGATAAACAGATTTTTAAAGGTTTAGTAAATTTGAACTAATATTCCAAAATTTAGGACATGTGAAGATGAGAATGGGTTGTTATCTATTTCCGATCACCCTTGAAACCAAATATATTTCAGTAACAGCATAAACACACTTGTTCACGATTCCCTAACTGAAATAGTTGTGTGTTCAGCTCAGTGCCTTGACACAAATGGGAAGTTAAACAGGGGCAGCATTAGGTCGCTGTTAACACACTGAGGAAGTCATTCATGGGACTGTAATAAAGAGAATCAATGCACTCTAGACTCATCCAGCACAAGCCCTAGCCCGTCCTGTCACTCAGGGGCATCATGACTTTGGACACATAGCTCAATTGTGCTACCCCACTTTTTCTGTCCACTTCACACACTTCTTGACATCTTCCTCAGTTAATATACTGCACATAAGCATCAAAAACAGTGGCTGGTTAGTGGCCTGTGGTGTAAGCTGTCTACTGTCTTTAAACAGCTAGCTTATGGAGAGGTATAAGTGTCATTAGTAAACCATGTGATTGTTCCTTCAGAACAGAGACAAACTTGCTCAGAAAGTCTTTTCGAGTAATACCCAAAACACAACTACAGTAATGATGTTATACCATATTTTATCTTGAGAAACACATGTAAGAAGAAAAGCCTAGAAAAATAGAAATCTCAAGCCAATGCATGCTTGGAACCAAAGAGAAAAAATAATACTGAACAAAAATAAGCTAAAATGTTGAGTGTGAGAAATATCAACAGAGAATTACCATCTTAATAAGACTGAAGGCAGATAAATTAATAAATATATGTGCACACGTGGCCATATATCCTAAATTGGAACATGATCCTTAAAGTTTATTCTCCTTAGGAAAAACTGCATTTTTTTGTCATGGTTAAAAGTTCCCAGATACTACTTTAAAAAAAAAAGAAGAAAAAAAATTAAAAGATGAAAGACTGAGGTAAGAAGCTAAAGAAGGTGAGAGGCAGTAAACACAGAAGGAATAAATTTAGAGACTAACTTAAAAAGGAAAATGTTTACAAAGTTAATAGATAAAAAGAAAAGAAGATGTAATAAGACATTTAAAAAGAAGTAATCAGAGGAGGTTGGAGAGATGGCTCCGCAGTTATGTGTACTGACTGCTCTTCTGGAGGATATGGGTTCAATTCCTAGCATATACATAGAGGTTAGTAACTAACTGTAACTCTAGTTCCAGGGGATCCAATTCTGGCCTCTATGGGCACCATCCATGTGATACAGAGACGTACATACAGCCAATGAACTGATACACAATAAATAAATAGATAGATAGATATTTAAAAAGCAACCAGAACTCTGCTTTCAACACAAACATGATAATAGAGGCTGGTTTTAACTTTGCACTAAAACATCTGAAACTCTAGGGGAAATGTATAAGTGGTTCTCAACACACCAAATATCAAATAAGAAAGGGAACCCTCAAAAATGGGAAATAAATGAATTAAACGGGAAACTGGACAGGACCAACTTCAATTCAAGTAATTTAATAATATTACAGGACAAAATCCAAAAATATTTTTACAAGAATGTATAATGACTGGTGCCCCAAACATAGAATTAAAAATTCTTAACAGCCTATAAAATATCAAGTACAAAAAGAAACTGGAAAGTGTAAAACATAATGAGAGAGAATAATCAACTAAAACATAGAAAGTAATTACATAATCACTGAATGAGTAAAGACACTAAAATAAATAACTGTATCACATAGATTTCAAAGTATGGAAAAATCAATACAGAGATGTACAGACTCTAGATAGTCGTGTGGTATTAAATGCTGGGAAACCCAAATATGCATATGCAGAAAAATTAAATAGAAATAAAATCAACTCAAAGTGTGTTAAAGAGTTAAATGTGAGAAGTAACTAGATGAGAGACACAGGAAAAAACACCTCATAATATGGGTTTGGACAAGAAACATATGGGTTTCTATAGATATGACCTCAAAAGCACAGGCAAGCCGAGACAGACAGATGGGATTCTAGCAATCTACAATTCCTCTGCAAAGCTAAGAACCTAGCACAATGCAGATTCATCCCATGGAATGGCAAACTATACATTGGAGAAACAGTTAATACCCAAGATATATGAATAATACAAACCATTTAGTAATAACAACAGGAAACAAATAATCTGATCAAAACAATAGGCAAAAGCCCTGAATAGGCATTATCCCAAACAGGACATAGAAATAAGTCATGAATCTATGCAAAGGGAAGTATTACTTATTCATTAACAAGGAAATGAAAAATCAAGGCCACAATGATGTATTATCACTGTCAGTTACTGTTCAATTGCTGTGAAGAGACATCATGACCAGGGCAACTCTTACAAAAGAAAGCATTTAATGGGGTCTTGCTCACAGCTGCAGAGTTATTCCATTCTCATCATGGCAGGAATAGTCACCATGGCACTAGAATAGTAGCTTAGAGCTTTACACCCTGATCCACAGACAGAAGGCAGAGAGAAACACTGGGGCTGGAATGAGATTTTGAAACCTCAAAGCCCATTCCCAGTGGCACCTCTCCTCCAACAAAGCCACACCCACTTCAACAAGGCCACACCTCCTAGTCCTTCCCAGACAGCTCCACTAAATGGGGACCAAGCGTTGAAACATAGGGGCCTATGGAGTCATTCTCATTCAGACTCCACCACAGTCTCATCCCGTTATGATTGCTGTTATAAAAAAGAGATTTTTTTTTTGTTATTGTTGGGAATGAAGAGAAAAAAAAACCTTATGCATTGTTAGTGAGTATGTGAATGAGCCATTGTGGAAAATTATACAGAAGTTCTTCAGAAATTAAAAATGTAACTATCTTATGGTC